AGCCAGAAGGCCCCGATCAGCCCTGATCACCGGCCAGGCCTAGGGACCCTACCCATGCACAAATTTCATGCACCGGGCCTCTAGTATCTAAATAAAGATGAAACAAGAGAAACACATATTTAAATAGTGGCACCACAAAGATCCCAAATAGCCAAAGCAAGCTTGAGAAAAAAGAACAAAGTTGAGTATCACACTCATGGGTTTAAAACTATACTAAAAAGCTATAGTAATCAAACAAAATATGGAAGGAGAGCAATGGGTGCCCACCTCAGCACTCCTCAGCTGGGAGCTTGATTCTATTTCTCTAGGGTTGTGCTGGGCCTGGTGGCCTGGGCAGCAGAGCAGTAGCATCATGGGTCTCAGCACCTAGTGGGGGAACCCCGGGCCTCCTAGTGCTAAGTCCCCCCCCCCCCCGACCCCCTATTCTCCTGTGCCCTTTCACTCCGTTTTTTTTTTTTTTTTTTTTTTTTCTTGTCCTCAAAGTTATAGCTGCCACTTCAGCTCTCTGGCAATGGAGACTCCATCCCCACTTTTTAAAAAAATATATTTTTTTTATTGATTTCAGAGAGGAAGATGGGGGTTGGGGGGGGGGGTGGGAGAGAGAGAGAGAAAGAGAGTGAGAGAAAGAGAAACATCAATGATGAGAGAGAATCATTGATTGGCTGCCCCCTGCATGCCCCACACTGGGGATCAAGCCTGCAACCCAGGCATGTGCCCTGACTGGGAATCGAACTGTGACCTCCAGTTTCATAGGTCAATGCTCAACCACTGAGCCACACCAGCTGGGCTTCATCCCATCCACTTTGCCAGAGGCACCCAGCGCTCCAGAAATGTGGGCCCCACCCGGGTTGCAGACCCTACCCGGCAAGCGAGGCCGTCTCTGAGAGCACCCTGAAACCAGCAGCGGCAGGCTCAACTTCCTCTACGGCTGAGTGCCCCTCTCACATCAGGTGGCTGGGCACATGTATAGGAAGGACAAAGTGGGTATCTTGCAACATCCAGATGGCATAGTTTTGAAATAGCTACAGCCACCTCCAAGGGATCCAATAAGGGAGCTAGAATTCTATAATATGATTTAGAGCTTTAAAAATTTCTGCCAAAATATTATGGCATCTGGTGATCTCCCACTGTGCCAAATGATGTACACCTAAACCTTGAAGATGTGACCCATAGATTTAATAAGCCCTGTCTAATGGATGTAAAGATAGGGCAAAAGAGCTATGATTCTTTTGCGTTATCTGAGAAGATTCAGCAACAGGTAGGCAAGTAATCAGAGATTGGGTTCTTGGTGTGTGGCATGAGAGTTTATCATGTTCATTCTCATAGCTAGGAGACACAAAACCAGCACTATGGAAGAAGCCTAACAAAAGAAACTAATGGATGGAGTTTCCAGATTTTTTTTGGTAATGGATTCTGCTTAGAAAAGTATGCTGTTGCTGCCAGTATTCAGAAGATTGAGAGTACTCTGCAGTGGTTTGAAAGCCAGGAGCAGCTTAACTTTTATGTGAGTTCATTACTGTTTGTTTATGAAGGTTCATCTGAGCCAACTACTACAAAATCAAATGACAGAACTTTGGCAGAAATGTTTTTGTCCAAAGGACAACTCTCAAACACAGACATACTGAAGTACAATAATAACTTTCAAGTGTTAAGTTCCACAATGAATGGAAAAATAGTAGACAAAACCTTATCCAAGATATATGGTCATCACAGAAAAATGTATTTGAAAAAACATCACAGTCACAATTCATCGAAAGTTGAAAACATATAGCAAGACAATAGGTGGAGAAGTTTGTCACAGGAACATTTAAACAGAAATATACTTTCCCAACTGGAAAAGACTTTCTACCATCTTCCCACTGGTTGCCAAAAGATTGCAGAAATAGAAGTGGGAATGACTGATTTTTCTCATGTTTTCCCTAGCAACACAAAAGATGAGGGATATATCTATGGACTGAAGCAAATAATTACTGTACTACAGAGTATTTTAGACAATGGAATCCTTGGCTGCAATCTTTTTAAGGGGTGGGGCAATCACTGTGAAGAGCAGCCATCAATATCTCTGCACTTGTAATGCTATGTAAACAATTTGTATGTGAGCCCTAGCCCGTTTGCTCAGTGGATAGAGTGTTGGCCTGTGGACTGAAGGGTCCCGGGTTTGAGTCCAGTCAAGGGCCCATACCTTGGTTGTAGGCTCCTCCCTGGCCTGGACCCTGGTCGGGGCGTGTGCAGGAGGCAACCAATTGATGTGTCTCTCTCATATTTATATTTCTCTTTCTGTGTCTCTCCCCCTCCCACTCTCTCTAAAAATCAATGGAAAAATATCCTCGCTGGGGATTAAAAATAATAATAATAAATTTGTATTGTGAGTCTACATATTTACATTTCTGGTAGAGGGTTAACTTTTTAATAATCTTACTCAGGAAAAACAATTATTTGTTAATAAGAAAACTATGAAAAATAAAGAAAAAACTTTGGAATGTTATGCAAAGAATGTGGTGGCAAAAAAAAAAAAAAAAAGAACAAAAACAGTACAGTATAGGCACAAAAACAGCCACTCGATTAATGGAACAGAATAGAGAGTCCAGAAATAAACCCACACCTGTATGGTAAGTTAATCTTCAAAAAAGGAGGCAAGAATATATAATGGGGAAGACAGTCTCTTCAGCAAATGGTGTTGTGAAAACTGGACAAACACATGCCAAAAATGAAAACAGGACCACTTTCTTACATCATATACAAGTATAAACTCAAAATGGATTAAAGATTTAAATGTAAGACCTGAAACCATAGAGCTCCTAGAAAAAAACATAGGCAGCAAATTCTGACATCATTTTTAGCAATATTTTTGTGTGTATATCTTCTCAGGCAAGAGCAACAAAAGCAAAAATAAAAGAATGGGGCAACATTAAATTAAGCTTTTGCACAGTGAAGGAAAACAACAGAATGAAAAGACAACCTACTGAATGGAAGAAAACATGTGCAAATGATATATCTGATCCTATATAATAAAAGGCTAATATGCAAATAGACCAAAAGGTAGAACAACTGGGACAACCGAAACAATTGAACAACCGGTTGCTATGACGTGCGCTGACCACCAGGGGGCATGTGCAGAACATGGTGAGCGTTGGCCGTGGTGGGATAGTGGAGCAGGTAAACGGCACCAGACCAAGGCGGGATGCTGGCCTGTCATCGGGGGGAGCCTCTGGTGATTATTGAAAATTTTTTGCTCCCACGCACAACAGTCCTGCCCGGTGCTCACACCTGTTGCCGGTGCCGGCCCCACTCACACCTGTAGCCAATGCCAGAGCTGCTGCTTGCACCCACTGCCGGTGCCCAGCACTGGTCCCGATCACTCAGCGCCATCAGCAGGTGTGAGCAACAGCTGCCAACCCTGATCACTCCTGAGGGCTTCTCCACCTCCCCCTGCTCTTGAGGGGCAATCGGGGCAGCAGCTGACATTTGTACCTGCTGCTGGCGCCAGCCCCAATCACTCTGAGCCATCAGCAGATATGAGCGGCAGTGGCAAGAGTGGGGCTGCTGGCAGACAGGGGACCAGGGGCCGCAGTGGGAGGGGCTGGGCAGGGGCACAGAGGATGGGCCAAGACCCGCCCCTGTGCCTACCGTAGTCTTGTGGCCCACAGTTCGTTTCAAGGTGCACAAATTTATGCACTGGGCCCCTAGTACATATATATATATATACATAAAGAACTCAGACAACTCAACATCAAGAAAAGGAAACTATCTGCTTAGAAAATGGACAGATCCCTAAATAAACATTACCCCAAAGAAGACATACACATGAAAAGATGCTCAATGTCACTAATCATCAGGGAGATGCAAATCAAACCCACAATGAGCTATCATCTTACACCTGTTAGAATCCTATATAATAAAAGGCCAGTGGCCATAACAGTGTAATGACCGTTAATGACCAATCAACCAGTTGCTATAAGGTGCATTGATCACCTCTTGGTCCCTCCCCCGAGCCCGTAGGCTCCGATCACTGGATGGCCAATGGGGAACCACGGGGAAACCAGGGTGGCGGCGGGGCGGGACTGGGGACTGGCAAGCGGGCGGAAGGCATACAGACTTCTTGGTCCCTCCCCTCAGACCACAGGCTTTGATCATGGCGAACAGGGAACCATGGGGAACTGGGGTGAGCAGTGGCCGGGCAGGACTGGGGACTGGCGAGCGGGCGGAAGATAGCCCTGATCGCAGGCTAGGCCTAGGGACCCTACCTGCACAGAATTTTGTGTGCTGGGCCTCTAGTAGTTATTATAAAAAAATCAACAAATAACAAGTGTTGGCAAGGATATGGAGAAAAGAAACTCTTGTGCATTGTTGGTGGAATTATAAACTGGTGCAGCCACTATGGAAAACAATAGGGAGGTTCCTCAAAAAATTAAAAACAAAACTACCATAGACCCTTCTGCAATTCCATTTCTGGGTATTTATAAAAAATAATAATAAAACAGTAATGTGAAAAGATATGTGCATCCCTATGTTCATTGCAGTATCATTTATAATAGCCAAGATATGGAAGCCACCTAGATGTTCATTGATAGTTGAATAGATAAAGAAGATGTGATATATCTATATCTATATCTCTATTTCTTTTTTTATCAATAAACCTCATATTTTATTACATAAACATGTATTATAGATTTGCCTTACACTTTGAATTAATCTCCTATTTATACATAATTTTGTAACATTAAACATTGATCATTTCAAATGATGCAGTGGACACATTTTATTAAACAATATCAAAAAGTAGCATTCTTTAACATCACCATCAATATAATCGAAGTCTTTAAATATTGGGAAGCCATCAAGTTCACAGTGGTGAACACAAGCTTTACAGAATCTAATTTTTATTTAAAGCATGAATTTTATCATTGGTAACATATAATGGTTTTCTTTGATATGAGGCTCACTTTGTTCATTTAGAGAAAACATCTGCAAGTCAACAATAGCTTGTCAATCACTCTTAAGTAAAAATGGTGTTTCAGTAAAAAAAAAAAAAAAAAAAGCAGTCCCACTTGTAACTCAATCAATGAATTAATTGCAGTAGTGCTTTTCCTTTTTTGTGTGTGATTAGTCACTATGCTTTCATTAGGTTCAATTTATAACAATGAAATTGGGGTCACCACAACATGAGGAACTGTAGTAAAGGGTCGCAACATTAGGAAGGTTGAGACCACTGGTCTAAGGTTTAATTCTACCTCAGTTTCTGGCTCCTACCCAGCTTGGCCCTGGTCCAGGCTTGGGCATGAGGCAACCAACTGATGTGTTTCTCTCACATCGATATTTCTGTCTTTCCCTCTCTCTCCCATTCTTTCTAAACATCAATGGGAAAATATCCTCGGGTGAGGATTAAAAAAAAACAAACAAAGGTGGGTAATCTGGTCAGAAGCTCAAATCTACAAGCTGCTCCTCCAGGGGGTCTGGAATGAATGTTCTAGAGCATCTCCAGGAAGGCCTGCGGGGATGGTGCCTCCACATTCTGGAAGGTGTTCTGGACTCTGCCGTACAAGATGAAGTATTTCACCTTCAGCCAGATGAACCCAAAGTGGTTCTCATCGAACAGGATGAAGACTCCAGGAAACCGCTCCCAGTAGGCTAAGCCAGGTAAGGTAACAGTGTCCACGCCATAGAAACACATCCTGCAGGTTCGGGGGTAGTTCTGGTCTCTTGTGCGCATGCCCACAGGCAGAACAAACGGGACAGGCTGCTCCTCCAAAGCTGCAGCCCCGGACTCCCCGACGCTGGGCTGGGCAGGGCTCTGCCAGCCATGGCCCTGGCTTTCCTCAGTCCCGTTTTCTTGCTGCTGCTGCTGCTGCTCCCGGATCACCTGCTCATCAATCTCCTGGACCACGCGGGAGAGCTCGTTGAAGTTGCGGAAGAACTCGCCATCTGGCAGCTGGATGCGGCGCATGAGGTGGATCTCTAACATCCTGATGGTGTCTCCCGTGATCTTCGTGACCCTGGCATACTTCCCATGGAAGCTGAGCATGACAATCTTTAGGCCGAAGGCATCGTAGTTGCCTTGGAAGAGGCCTGGCCTGATGAGGTCCTCCGGGTGGCTCGGCGGGAGGTAGAGGCGGCGGTAGGCCAGGCAGTCATACTGATATCTGTCCTCCAGCCCCAGCGTCAGCGACAGCACCAGCGCCCGTTCTTGCCTAAGTCTCGCTGTTAAATCCTTCCGGTGGCCTGTCTTGTCGCACTGGAGGGTGAGCCTGTCCTTCTGAATCTGCACGTGGCGGCTGTGGGGCCTGCTGTGGCGGCCTTCCATGCATTCCACCACGGCTGATTTCCTCTCCGTCAGGCGAATTCTGAACGAGGGCTGGAATTGCAGTGGGCCATCCACGTGGGTGTTAAGGGAAGGCCCGTAAGTCCAACCAGTAATGCATAAGCCGTCCACCGCGACATTCAGCAGTGTTCTATAGTCCTCAGTATCTAGCTGCCACAATCCCAAAATGTGTCTGTATGGGTGGAGCAGCTTCGCATAGACTTCTCGATAAGACATACCTATCATCTCCAGGTTCTGCGAGTTTTCAGAAAAGCCATATTCCTCCCGGCAGCGCCGTCTCCAGATGCGGTCGATGTGCAGGATGTGGTGGAATTTGGTGCAGGCCAGGGCCAGGCTGGGCAGGTCGGTGCCGGGGAGCCAGGCGAAGATCTCCACCAGCATCTCCACAGGCAGGTCCCGCAGCGAGCAGTGCGGGGGCGGCATGGGGCTCGCAATTTCTCCACTCTCCGCACAGCACCGCGCTGCCTCGACCGCCTCCACGTGCTTTTCTGCCGCGGCCGGGGCCGGCTTGCCGTAGGCCACTGCCGCCTCAGCTGGGCCCTGGCACTGCTGACGACACCGACACCGACATCCCCGCGAAGAGCCCGCACCGCAGAGACTAGCGCACGCCTCCATTCCTCGAGGCATAACAGCCAAAAAGCATCCGGCTTCTGTGCCTCAGCCAGGCTTTAAACTGGCTAGTCCCGCCCCAGAATCCAGCCACGCCCCCTAGGGCCTAGCCACGCCCCCTCAGAGAGGAGCCAATTGTAGGACTTTAGCAACACTTCCAAGGAAACCCATACCCATTAAAAGCTGCCTCCCGTTTTTTAGTGCCCCCTCCCTGTCCTCCCGCCCTAGCCCCAGGCAGTCACTAATCTGCATTCTTTTTTTTTTTTTTAACATTTTATTTTTTTATTATTTTTTTAATTTTGTTTTATTGCTTAAAGTATTACATGCTTCCAGGGATATGCCTATGGGGGCGGGGGACATTTCACATAAATGCAGTCATAATAGTTGGTCTTTTGTGACTGGCTTCTTTCACTTAGCATAACATTTTAAAGTTTTATGTATGCTATATTCTAGTGTATGGGTATACCACATTTTGTTTACCCATTCATTAGTTGATGAATACTTGGGTTGTTTCCAGTTTGAGGCTCTTATGGATAACGCTGCTATGAACATTGTGTACAAGTTTTTTGTGTGAACATGTTTCCATTTCTTTTGGGTATGTACCAAGAAGTGGAACTTCTGGGTCATCTGGTAACTCTATGCTTAGTATGTTGAGGAACTGCCAAAAACGTGTTATCCAACGTGGCCCCACCATTTTACATTTCCACCAATGTACGAGGGGTCCAATTTTTAAACATTCTCATGAATGCTTTTTAAAAAAATATAGCCATCCTAGTGAGTGTTGAGTGGTATTTTATTATAGTTGAGAGCAGAGTTATTGACTGTAGGTTGACTTGACCTTGAACTCCATAAGGGAAATCTCTTCTATGCTCAGCCTTCACCCAGCCTCTGCCAAATCTCTCAGGCTCCTGGTAGGAATGGGCTCCTACATGTGAGCAAGGATGGACTTGAGTTCTTCATTTTCAGTGGACCTTGAGTTCTTCACTTTCAAGTGACTAACCTTGCTAGTTCCTTGGGTGAATGGATGCCCTCAGAAAAAAGTTCACAGGATCTGCCCACTATGAACATAATTTTCCTATGGGCTGAGACTGGCCCCGCCCATTCAGACAGGCTTCCATTCTCATGTTGAGAGCAGCTAGATTCCTTCTCTCCACTTTTCTGGATTCCTACCAGAGAAACACTTCCTCTTAGTGCCCTGGGAGGAATTTGATTTTCCTTTTGTCAGGAATAGACATTTGGGGTGGTTTATTTGATAGAGGGGTGTAAATTCCATCTGCCACAGACACTGACTTCGATCATTTAAACACTAAAATATTCTCAATCCCTCCTTTGAAGAATAGCCCTATATTATTATTGGTATGTAATGGGGTAATGGGTATAAAGACTCTTTTTTTTTTTTAAGACTCTTCTTTTAGGATCCTGTATTGATGGGATTTTGAGGGACGGTCTCCAAGGGTACATGTGTGTCTGGTGGGTCAAGGAGAACCTAGGAATGTGAGTGCAGCTGGTGTATGGCACTAGGAGGGCTTGAACGGCTAGTGAAGAGGTTCAATCATCTTTTCTCTCCCAGGATTGAGAGAGCCAGACACACCACTGCCCTAGGAAGAAATCTGTGTAGGAAGGTCAAAGACAGGTCCATTCAAAGGAGAGACAGAGGCTGCTGCTATGGTGAGAGTGAAAAAAAATAGAATGTTGGGGGATTAGTTATGATTATGGGAAATATTAATTGTGCTCTGTTAACCATGATTGCCTTGTGTTGGTTCAAGAAAGGACATTCTGACCTGGCTAGGAGTTGTATGCCCCTGGGACAGCCGTGGGCAAACTACGGCCCGAGGGCCGGATCCAGCCCGTTTTGAAATGAATAAAACTAAAAAAAAAAAAAAAGACTGTACCCTTTTCTGTAATGATGTTTACTTTGAATTTATATTAGTTCACACAAACACTCCATTCATGCTTTTGTTCCGGCCCTCCCGTCCAGTTTAAGAATCCACTGTGGCCCTGGAGTCAAAAAGTTTGCCCACCCCTGCCCTGGGACCTGGAAGTCAATCTTAAACCAGGGAGTCAGCCTTGGAATGTGGCCCATTCTCATTCAAGAACAGCCTATTGTCATGGAAAGATTAACAACCTTGTTGCCCAAACAATGGAGTCCCACCCCAGCCTCCTACTTCTCCATGCCTGTAATCCCTACTTCCCCATGTAATCTTTGTTTTACCACAGACAAGCAGCTGGCTTATAGGGGGCTGCAAAGCAGATTTTTGTGGATGACCTGTTGCTCTCCCATACTGCTGGCATTATAGGAATAAACGCTCATATATGATTCAACCCTGTCTCTGCTGAATTGGCTCAAGTAGTGACAGGCAGCCCAGACCCTTTGATTGTCCTGTTACACTATCTCTGAGCCTTTTCCCGTGCTGTTGTATCTGTTTACACAGCTCTCCCACTCCACTCACCACCAAAACCTCTACCATTGTCCTGGGCCTCACCTACTAATGGCACATGATCTTGGTCAGGAAACATCCTGTGAAGCCCCAGGACTTGCCAAGTGCCTCTCCCTGGTATTTACAAAGCACCTTGGGCTTAAGTGCCCATCAGTACATGAGTGGCTAAAAAAGCTGTGCTACATTTATACCATGGAATACTGTGCAGCAGTAAAAAAGAACAATCTCTTACCCTTTGAGGTAGCATGGAGGGACTTGGAGAGTATCAGGCCAGGCCTGACGTTCCAGCTGAGCGTACAAACTGGAGTCCTTGAGTTTTTGGACTATCTGAGCAATACTGAGAGACAGATCCGACTACTCCTGCCACATTTCCCCTGCCCTAGCCCGCCAGGCGGTGAGGACAGGCCGCCGGCGCGGAGACAATGGGCTATGGGGTCCCGCTCAAGGCTAGTGACACTTCTCCTGGACCTTTTTACCCTGGGACTCCTCAGCGGGCGTCACCAAGCAACCGCTCGGCGTGCGTCCGTTCCTCTCTGGTGCCCCTCCGCCCCTCCCTGTATCTATTTCTTATCTATATCTTATCTATATCTATCTATATGTATATCTATCTATCTATCTATCTATCTATATCTATATCTATATCTATATATGGAATATTAGCCATAAAAAAGAATAAAATCTTGTCATTTGTAACAACATGGATGTACCTGGAGGGTTTTATGCTAAGTGAAAGAAGTCAGGCAGAGGAAAATAAATACCATATGATTTCACTTACTTGTGGAATCTAAAAAAAACAAAACAAAACAAACAAAGCAAAACAGAAACAGACTCATAGATCCAGAGAACAAAGTAATGGCTGCCAGAGGGGTTAGGGGTGAGGCTGGATGAAAAGGTGAGAAATAAGAAGTACAAATTTCCAATTATAAAAGAAACAAGTCACCAGGATGTAATGAACAACATAGGAGTGGGAATATAGTCAATAATATCATAATACCTTTGGACAGTGACAGATGATTATTAGACTTATCATGATTATAACTTTAGCAAGGTATGTAAATATTGAATTATGTCGTGAAACTAAAAATATATATTTGTAGTACTATATTATACAAAATATAATATTTTATTTCAACTATAATAATAAAAAGGAGTAGTCGCAAATATAATAAAAATGCATACAATTTATATCAAAGATTACTTTAAAGATGATACTGAGGGAAAACACACAAATGACTTGAATAAAGGGAAGGCGTATCAGTTCCTGGATAGACAGGAAAATGTAACATCACCAAAATTTCAACCCTCCCTAAGTTAATCTATCAATTTAACATGATCTTTTAATATATTAAATTTTCAAGGGCAGGGAGTTGCCAGATTCAGAATCACAATATAATTCTATAGTAACTAACAAAGGGGGGGAAGGGGGAGAAGGAGTCATGAAGAAGCAACCTAACCTACTAGGAATTCTAAATTATAAAGTTATAATGATGAAAATTGTATAGAACACAAATACATAGATCAATGGAACAGATTTTATATAAATATATATTAATTGATTTAAGAGAGGAAGGAGGAGGGAAAGAGAGATAGAAACATCAATGATGAGAGACAATCATTGATTGGCTGCCTCCTGCATGCCCCCCACAAGGGATCAAACCTGCAACTCAGGCATGTGCCCTGACGGAATCAATCAGTGAGCCATGCCAGCTGGGTTCCAATTATATTCTTAAAACAGAATAGAATGGAATTGTTTTTTAAAATGAGGCAGTTTTACTAGTATAGGGACCGATATGGGACACTAACCAAGAAAATATATATATATATATATATATATATATATATATATATATTTTTTTTTTTTTTTTTTTTTAAACTGAGCGTACAAACTGGAGTCCTTGAGTTTTTGGACTATCTGAGCAATACTGAGAGACAGATCCGACTCCTCCTGCCACATTTCCCCTGCCCTAGCCCGCCAGGCGGCGGGGACAGGCCACCATCGCGGAGACAATGGGCTATGGGGTCCCGCTCAAGGCTAGTGACACTTCTTTGTTGTTTAATTTTTTTGGTATGTTTTTATTGATTTTTAAAGAAAGAGGAAGGGAGAGGGAGAGAAAGAAACATGGATCAATCACCTCCCATATGCATCCCAACCAGGGATTGAGCCTGCAACCCAGCTATGTGCCCTGACCAGGAATCAAACCCGTGACCTTTCAGTATATGAGACGAGGCTCCAACCAACTGAGCCACACCATCTGGGGCCCCAAAAATATTTTAAACAAGAAAATCAAGGTGGTAGAAATATATATGTTGAAAAAATCATTTGTTGAAAAAATATAGATGCTTGTATGTGCACAGGTCATCTGAAGGAATAAGTATGAGTTTGGTAGTAATTGCCTCTGGAGAGGAGCATTGAGTAGGTGACGTATAGGTAGACGTATAGACTCATTTTCACTTATTCCCTTTTGTATCTTTTAAATTTGTACCATATGTTATACATTATCTATCCAAAATTAATTAAATAATTTCTTTTCAGAGCTGTGTTACAAGCTCAGGGGTTCAGGACTTGGTTGACTATGCTTGCAGAATGCACATTAATTTGAACTTTGTAAAGTAGCTTCTCAAAAAGCTACTTGTGGAATGGAGGGAAGGAATGTGCATGCGCTTAAGGTAACCTGAGGTGCTATGGCAACCATGAGGAGTGCCTGTCCTCTGTACTGCCATGCCAAACACCTGGATCTAAGCATGCTTTCTCCTGGAGGAGGGCAGCGGCATGTGTACTAACAATATGGAGCAATCCCATGCTCTGACTCCCAGAAGCAGCCTAGGAGGGTGCTGCTGCCGCGGTACACAACAGATGGCTAAGTATAAACTGTGTTTTAAAAACACAGTGGGCTCCTATTGGCATTCCTGTTGGCAGCACCAATCTTCAGCTAGTCAATACCACTTAATGTGAATTGTGAGCAGAGCACACTGCTAGGCCTTATGGGGACAGCTAGTAAAGGAGTGTTTCCCAAACCTGCCTAGGCACATTAAACCTGCTGAATCAAAATCTCTCAAGAGAGGCCTGTGAATCTAAGCTTGATCAAGCATCCTCATTGATTTTCATGATCAGTTAGGTTTGGGAAACAGTCATAAGAAGTGTGGGGTAAGAAGGGATAGGAGGGAGAAACAGGAAAAAGGAGAAAAATCTATGAAAACATAAAGCAACATTAAATACAAAAGCTAACTAAATAGTTCTAGCTGTTGGAAGCCATTTGTAAAACCTTAAAACAAAGAGTAAATATGGAACTTTTTGTTTAAGATGAAAAATGTTGGTTAAACTGGGATTTGGAAGAAAATTCTTTTTTTTTTTTAATATATTTTATTGATTTTTTTTACAGAGAGGAAGGGAGAGGGATAGAGAGTTAGAAACATCAATGAGAGAGAAACATCAATCAGCTGCCTCCTGCACACTCTCCACTGGGGATGTGCCTGCAACCAAGGTACATGCCCTTGACCGGAATCGAACCTGGGACCCTTCAGTCTGCAGGCGAACGCTCTATCCACTGAGCCAAACCAGCCAGGGCGAAAATTCTTTATATATTGATTCTTTATTTTAAAAAAAGTTAGCAAAAATATTTAAACAGGACTATTTTTCTTCTTGTAAATGAGGATATGAGACTCAGTGTTACCTAAACATCACTATCTATATATAAAATCCTAATATGCAAATAGACCAAATGGCAACACAACCGAACCAGTCGCTATGACGTGCGTTGACCACCAGGGGCTGCACGCAGAACATAGCGGGCATTGGCTGCGGCAGGATGGTGGAGCAGGTGAGTGGGGGCACCAGATCAAGGTAGGGCGCCGGTCACAGTCATCAGGGTGAACCTTTGATGGTTACTAAAAATTCTTTGCTCCCACGCACCACGGTCCCGCCCAGTGCTTGTACCTGCTGCCGGCGCTGGCCCCGCTTGCACCCGCTGCCGGTGCTGGAGCCACCACTCACACCCGCTGCTGGTGTCCAGCACCGACCCTGATTGCTCCACACTGTCCGTTGGTGTGAGCAGCAGCTGCCGGCCCCGATCATCCCTCAGGGCTTCTCCACCTCCCCCTGCTCCTGAGGGGTGATCAGGGCATCAGCTGCTGCTCACACCTGCTGACGGTGACGGCCCAGCTTGCACCTGCTGCTGGTGCTGGCCCCAGTCGCTCCGTGCCGTCAGCACATGGGAGTGGGGGCGGGAGCGGGGCTGCCAACAGACGGGACCGGGGGGGGGGGGGCACAGCAGGAGGGGCCGGGCGGGGGCACGGAGGATGGGCCGAGACCCACCCCTGTGC